TCCCTCTCTCCGGCTAAATTGCACAGTGCCCTCGCGCCCTGAGCTTGGGGCCTGGCAGATCCACCTCCCTGCTCCCGCCATCGTCAGTAGCTGCACTCTCTCTTTCTTTCTTCTGATCTTATGGAGAACGCCATGCGACACACGACACGCACTTGACACCGCGGTGGCGGCGGTCGCGTTGTTCGTGACGAGCAACAAGTAGGCTCTGAATCTGCGTGAACCATGACTAAAGGGACCAGGTGGTCTTCCAGCTCCACGCTTCGCTGTTGCTGTTGACTGGCATTTCCCTACCCACACCTCCCGCGCCGAAAGTTCTTTTTATTCCCGAAAAAGAGGACTCTCATATATCAATTTTCATCCATCTAAGTTATTCATTATTTATACACGCATTTTTGGCGTTGCAGTAAAGCACATACCAACTCCCAGATTGTTAAATAGTTCACGGTGAACTTCTCTGTTGTTACAGTGAACCCTGTAAGTTTCAGTAATAAATAGTGTGTACTGTACCGTATGCTACGCCGGTGAAAGTTCACCGCAACTCTCCGTTGCACTGGCAGGGCCCACTGTAACGATGAAATTCAGCGTGCTCTTTTAGAAGTGCACGCCTGCTCTCGTTTGCGGCCCCACCGGTGCGGCCCCATGGCTGGTGGGGTGGGGCATCACTCCCCTGTGACTCTGTGCGCTCATTTCTTTATGCCATTACCCTGCTCCCCTCTGGAGTCCCTCAGCAGGCTGGCTGTGCGCTAAACACGCACGTGCGAGCGCCCCCCTCCCCTTTCACACTCTCTCTCTCTTCACTAGTTAAACTGTAGCGAATGTGCCAGTGCCATGGATAACTCTAATCAATAGTCGTGTGTAGTTCAGAATTAATTACTTGTACACTTGTACGACTGGAAAATCAAAGGTGTCACATTGCACCTTATCAGATGTTGGAGGTATTTTAACAATTGTTAAAAGTTTACGGATCAGCAGTGTGCTGCTTTTGTTCATCCAGTGTAGTGCGCTAGAGTGCCAAATAAACAAAGTTAGGAAACAAAACCTTCTCTTAAAAGTGTCTGATTATTAGAGGCTTCTGACATCGTCTGTTTTGAACTCAGTGAAGAAGGGCCTCCATGATATAAGCCTTTCATTATGGCGGTTTAGGCGGTGGTATAGCTATGAGCCCCTCCTGACCACACAGGGTGCGTCCGTGACGCGCTCCGTAGGACCGTCCCGGGTCCCCACCTCCCCCCCCCCCCCCCCCCCCCCCCCACACACACACACTCTCGCACACAGCGAGCCGCCGCCCCGAGCCTGCCGGGCCCCATTTACCCTACATGCCCCATGACAAGTGATAAATTTTAGCGTCAGAGAGGAAATCGGTTAGAAAGCCGCTGCCCTCACGTGCCTGCTCTGTGTGGTTCGGGGGTTGGCGTTGTTGTGTACGTGTCCTGCTGGGGTGTCATCCCCACGGGGTGTGCGGGGGGAGAGGGGGGTCCCCGATAATGGCGGCCCTGGCCGGAAAAATGATTTCGGCCCCCCGGTTTGGACGGTAGGCCTGTGCTGTGTGTGTGTGAGAGAGAGAGAGAGAGAGAGAGAGAGAGAGAGAGAGAGAGAGAGAGAGAGAGAGAGAGAGAGAGAGAGAGAGAGAGAGAGAGAGAGAGAGAGCAGGAGAGACAGAGAGATGAGTGTGGGGGCGGTTGGAGAGGGTCCGGGCGGGGTCACGGGACGCCGCGGGGCTCGGTGCCGACATTATAGCGTGCTGCATGCCGTATATCCCTGTTAGCAGGCTCAGGGCTGCTGGCTGGCTATGTGTGTGCAGTGCGTGAGTGGGAGGGGGTGGGTGGGGGGTAGGGGCACATCCCGCGGGACCCTCCACCACACCCCCACTACCCCCACCTCCCGGAGCTGGCGGGGCGGGGCTGAGTGCTCCGCTGAAGATATGCCGCGGAACGTGTTTCCTCGCGCCGCTGATGGTTGGCAGAGGCGCAACGGCGGCGGCGCGTGAGCAGCGCGCGGAGAGTTCCCATTTTCTCATCCAGACGCAAAATTTAATCAATAACTTTTCTATTTTTGTTTCCCGTTCCCCGCGCCCCACCGCTGCTTCTGCTGCTGCTGCCGTCGCTGCTGCTCTCCCTCTTGTTTCCTCTTTCTCCGACCGAGGCGCGCGCGCTGGCTGCTGCCGGCCCGCCCAAGCCCATCCTCTCTCTGCCGGGGATTTCAATGGTCTTCCCTTTGCACATGTATGACACGTCGCCTCCGAGCTGCTCTCCCCGCATATCTTATTGGGTCCACAGCGCTGCGCGCTCCCTTGCTTTCACTTTTGCCCTCCTCCCGGCATCCCCGAAACCCCATCACGAAACACTGCATTCGTTGTTAATCCATCCCCCGGATCCATCCCCCGAACCTCCATCCATGCCGCCGCCACCAGAACCACCACCACCCGACCACCGAGCATCCCAGGCCACCTCACCCCAACCCACAAAAGGGGTTGACAGGTGGGCCCCGGTGGCGTTGATGTGAGCTTTCTGCCCACATCTGATGGAGGGGGACCCGAAGAGGGGGTGGGGGTAGGCTCTTCCGGGATGCACAGTGGACGTCCGGCCGATGAGATCCGTGATATACTCCGGACGGAGCAGAGACGGGGAGGAGGGTGCCGTATCAGAGGAGGAGGGGGCGGGTCCGATGTGACTGGTTAGGGACGGCGAGGTGTCCGGGCGGACGCGCCGGCCCGTGCGACAGGCGTGCGCTGCGGGTTGCCTACCCGCTCGGCCACAGGCGGCGGCCGGCGGTCCGATGATCACGCTCGACCACTCGCAGACAACACACAGTGTGGGCGTGGGGCAGCACCCGGTGTTGCAGCGCGTGCGTGCCCACCCGGCCGCGCACCTCGATAACGTTCTGTCCTTGCTCTCTCACTCCCCCTCCTGTGCTCTCTCCCTCTCTCCGGCTAAATTGCACAGTGCCCTCGCGCCCTGAGCTTGGGGCCTGGCAGATCCACCTCCCTGCTCCCGCCATCGTCAGTAGCTGCATTGTGTGTCGTCTCTCTACTGCAGCGACGTGCAGGGGAAAGAAAAAAGGATTGGAGAGGGAATAGAGTGGGAAAGCTAAAGAAAATAAAACATGACCCTTTTTTTTTGTCTCTGGCACACAACGACAACCCCGCTCAAGTGCGCGCCGGTGAGCAGGACAGCGCTTGATGAAGTCCGTGCTGTGAGCGGGAACCCGTCCGTCCTCGGTTCAAATTTCACCACGAAATTAGTTTTGTGGCCTTGCGTTCGCAGTCACACACTCGATGTGTTGAAGAGTTAAAACGAGTCAGCATTCCTCCTTTAGAGGATAGACGCACAACAAAAAATGCAATAATGCATTTGGTTTACCCCCACCGCTCCTATGTACCCCAATCTCTTATTGCCCGCGCACAAACTCGGGCGAAACGCAAAATAATGAAACGTGTTTCATTTGTATTCCCCATCCTTTTTTTTTCGTCCGAATCCCTTTCATCTCGCTATTGTTTGTTTTATCTGCGCAACCGCCACGCCACACCTGCGCTTCCCTCTCTTAATGTTGTTAATTGGTCCGCCACCGCAAGCCTTGCCAGCCACCACGGGCAACTCCGCAGCTACCTATCCATCTATATCCTCCCCTCTGGCCATCGTTATTTGGCACCGGGCTTTTGGTCCACGCCGCGCGATTTGCGACGGACAGCGAGCCGTTTAGTCATCAATCAGAAGCGATCTCCTCGCACACACTGACGGGCATCATTCTTTGGCGTCTCATTTGTCTGTTTTTTGTTGTTTTTGTGTTTGTTTTTTGTTTTTTTGCGGGACGCACCGTGGTGTGTCGTGCGTTCCAATGGCATGTGTGTGTATGGCAGCCATGGGGGCTTTTCACACGATACTATAAAAGCGCGCGAGAAAGGCAAGAGCAGCCGGGCGCGCGCTGCTACACACGGAGCGGGGCTGTTTGGGGTGTAACGACAGCAAGTCTGTTTCAAACAAATCCCCTACGCTCCGCAGGCGCGTGACGCTCGTCATGCTGCTCATGAATGACCAGTGATGGTAGCATAACGAAAGTAATCATAATACTGCTCCTGCTGCGTACCACCCCTCCACTAAAAAGTATGCAACAACATTACTAAATTTTTCAAGTCAAATGTTCTTATTTTAACCCAACCCCCATATTCCCTGCCAACTGAAAACAAATGGCAGTTCGATCAAAAACAAATTCGTTAAAAATTTAGGAATGTTTTTGAATTGACAACTTTGGCTTTTGGGGGTAACATATTTTCCGCCGGCCGGCACCACCGACCGACTGCCCGACTGACGGCACGACTGCCACGACTTGTTGTTGTGGAACAGCGGCGTTTAATTACAAACGGGCGGTGATTGGCCGGGCAGCGGCTCGGGCACGTTTCTGCCCCCGTATCGCCCCGCCCCACCGCGCCCCCCGCCTCCACCCCACCTCGAACCCCGGACGCTGTGTTGACCCTGCGGATCTACGAATAACAGGTGCGGCTGTATGGCATGGGGGCCGTATAAGAGGCTTCCGGGCCGGTCGGTTCATCCTGGGGGAGAGAGGGTTGGGGGCGTCGGCCAGGCGCCCCGAGGACCCTTATCAAGCCTACTCATCCGAAAAGGACGCAGAATGTGGCCCGCGAGCTTTAAAGGCGGATCTCTCCTTTAAAATGGATATATAGGATGCGGTGGTGGGTGGTCGTACACGGAGCGTGTTCGCTCCCGCGGCTGGCAGTGGTTTTTTGGTTCCGTAGCCGAAAGCTAAGTGTGTTGACGCTTGTGGCGCTGCTTGTTGTTCCAGGCTTCCCCATCCAAAAGCTCCAGAGTCGCGTCCTGCATCTTCACGTCTTCGACTACGATCGCTTCTCCAGGGATGATTCCATCGGGGAGGTGTTCTTACCGCTCTGTCAGGTTTGTGAGCCAAGTGCTACATTACTCATAGGAGAAAAATTAAGCTAGATGTTGCCAAAAATATTCGATTCGAAGCATTTTATGACGGATTTGATTCGATTTCGAGGAAACTTCATGAAATTCAATTGGAACTAAAAAAAACGCCCACTCGCATAGCGCTACTACTGAGATTATGTTAGTATCTTCACGCAATTCTCTATACTATATCTAGGTTGACCTGTCGGAGAAGCCGTCCTTCTGGAAGGCGCTCAAGCCCCCCGCCAAGGACAAGTGCGGAGAGCTGCTCACCTCGCTGTGTTACCACCCCAGCCAGAGCATCCTCACACTTACTCTGCTCAAGGCCAAGAACCTCAAGGCCAAGGACATCAACGGCAAGTCTGGTGAGTGCGGACAAAACCTCTTTGTTTCTCAGATCCTATTATGTCTTAATTCCTGGAGCATTTAGACACGCCCAACGATATGGTCTCTCTCGTAACCGACACTGTGCAACTTTCTGTCCTCTTTCCTGCCAGATCCGTACGTCAAGGTGTGGCTCCAGTTTGGGGACAAGCGCATCGAAAAGCGCAAGACCCCGATTTTCAAGGTGACGCTGAACCCCGTTTTCAACGAGACCTTCTCCTTCAACGTGCCGTGGGAGAAGATTAGAGAGTGCTCGCTCGACGTGATGGTCATGGACTTCGACAACATCGGGCGGAACGAGCTCATCGGCCGCATCCTGCTCGCGGGTGAGTGCCACGCACCCTTTCACTGTTTCGAATCAACAATTAGGAAGACGTCATCTTTGTCGCGCAATCTCAGCGCTAAGAGCTATACTAAAACTCAAAGTGGCCATCAGTCCAACGACCATGTTGACTAAGCCTGGCTGGCTGGGCTGAGGGGCGTTACAGTGTATTTCTTGTGCCTCGGTCCACACTAGTGATCCTTCAATCATCTCGTTGACAAGCTTCCTCAAGTTTATTCAATCAGCCAGTCTGGCTACTGACCTATACGCCCGTCCGCGACGGCCCAGACCGGCTCTGCCGGGCTCTCGTTCGTTGGTCCCTTACACTATATAAGTGCCAAGTAAGTAATGGATGTCCCTCTCGCTTTGTTCGCAGGCAAGAACGGGTCCGGCGCGACCGAGACCAAGCACTGGCAGGACATGATAACCAAGCCACGACAGACCATCGTGCAGTGGCACCGCCTCAAGCCCGAGTGAGGCGCCGCGCCGGCCTTGCCGTTGCACGGCGCCAGTGACTCAGTGCGTGAGTGTTGTCGTGCCTCAGTCCCGTCTCCACTCCCTTGTGATCACCGCCCTCTACCTGATTCTTTGTCTGCGTATATCTATCTTCCAGCGTCTCTCTGTTCCTTGTGGAACACGATCCCTGAGTAACTTTTTATCAATTTTATTGAGAAATTTTGGCAAGTCCGGGCCCAACACTATGCGTTGGATGACTCGGGACTGATTTTCCTTAGCTGAGTGGTTTTACGGCAGTAGTATTGACTTTAGATTTCGTTGTAGTGTCTTTGTTACGAGAGCCTCTCTGTGAAAACACTTAACGCGAGGACATTGTTTCATCAGGTTCTTGTGGTTTGTGTGAAATTGTTTTTAATGAATGTCATGGTGTGATTAACGATGAAAATGAACATTTCATAAGTATCATCGAGAGTTTATTCGCTAGGGAGGACCTCGTGAGAATTACGATTTAGGAGAGACTTTTTCATCTTGTATAAATTAAAGTATGGGTGGCTTCTGCTAAACTTCCCTTTAAGCTTTTTATAAAGTCAACATTGTTGCAATGTATTCAGTCAACTGTGTCCTCACATGCTTTCAATTTTTTACTACATACGCTCTGTAAAAAAAAAATAACCGGAGTTGGTGTTCCAATGGTGCTCCTCTGTAGATCAGTTAACCAGTTAACTTCTGTGAAACCAGCAGGCCTTCACAGTTTTAAAACTTCTTGTTTTAGAATTTAGGTTTACATCTCAAGATAAACTGAAAACCGACGTGAGGCAATCAGAAAACATTTTTTGATTGTTTTTCTAGAAAAATCAAAAGCTGTAATCATTTTATCTCCATGTGCGCCGCTTTGTGTGTCCGAAGTTTTAGATCTCTCAAATACTCTGTCCCTTCTTTACTTTACTTTAAAACACTTTGACAATCTTCTCTTCCCTGTACCTTACTTAGAACACTGACATATCGAATGGGTGTGCTGTTACCCACGTCTTTGAAGTACAGCAATTTTGTGCCCTTTTTGTTCTTTCTTCATAGAAATTTTCTTTCTGTCATCCCATTATTCTTCTTTCCTCTGAAAATGTCAGAAATATCACTTAACGCACATTCAGCTGTATAAGTAAAATTATAAGCTTTGTTTACATCTTTCAATTTTGAACTGATAGTCTAAAGTACTGGCATACTTAGCCACCTGTCATCTATATACAAAACAATTACTGCCTTAAGATACAACGGTTTGTTTATCTTATATGTTTCATCCACAATTATTTGTTGATTTCAAAGACGTTTTGTTGTCACCCCTTTTGTCTCTCATCTCTCTTTCTCTCTGGTCTGTATTAAGGCAGTAAGTTGGTGACTCTGGCATGCTTAAAACTCAAATCATTAACGAGAAACGATTGTGATAAATTTTTAACCCGGTCTGTTATGATTTATTTTAACGATATGTCATTGTCTTAGTATTATTCCTTTATTTCAGGGACAATTATAAGTATTATCCCAGCAAACATAAAGATGTAAAACTTACGAAATTTGTACTTAATTGTTTTTACAAAGGGAAGGGTAGGGTCCAAGTTTTAGTCATGTTCCACTTAGTAAAGCAGCCATGTTTGTTACACGTGCTTGAATCGGACTCGCAGGAGGACCCGCTGCCACCGCACAGAATCACTCATGATGGGGGCTCATGTCAAAAGTGGCTTCAGTGTGATAGCCTGGATGCTCTCCGTATGGGCATTCCATTTGTTAATCTGTGAATTAGGGTTGTTTACTTTAGAAATTAGAATGTGTTGTTTTTTGTACGCAGCATAGAATCGGCTAATCGGCATGGAGTGTTTTTATCGTTTTCGCATGGAGTTTGAATGGACAGTGATTTTCCACGTTTCTATGTTATTAGGTAAAGATAGAACACGTTTTCGAGGCAAGTGTGTCGCATTTGTGATTAGGTGTCTGTCTCTGTAAAAAAACAAGTTGGTTCTTTAGCCGTTGATAGCCGATAAAAAGCAGCGAAATGTCGTTTAAAGCCTGCGGTTTTAGTTGTTTCCTCGACGCAGGTCTGCACAAGCTAAAAGCCCAGAGGACAAGCTGGAGGCACTCGACGGGGAGGTGATGAATGCCGTTGCACCCGCTGCTCTCTCTGCACGAAAGCATTTGCTCCCCCTCCTCTTTATCTCCTTCACCTTCTCGTACCTGTTTCCATCCCCTCGCCTGACCCCATTTCCTCGCAACCCTCCCCCCAGTCTCTCTCAACTCGTCCCTCCCCCACATATCCCCCCGCTCTAGTGCCCTCCCGCCCCTCCCTGTATGTGTGTACGCTGTGACCTCTTCTCCCTCCCCCTCCCAGGAGAGTGACTCGTCCTGGGCATAAGTAGCATGATTTGCTTGTATCTAATCGTGTACCCCGCGGTAATCTGCCCGTTGGGAGTTTTTCTTGTGCCAATTCCCGTTGTAACCCCCCTGACCCAGCAATTTCTCCCCCAGATTGCATACGGTCCTTTTCATTGTCTAAAGTATTATTGTACCGGATTTATGGTAAACAATGTTGTTAAAATGACGTAGTCAATAAACTAACTCTGGTCGTCCATACTGTGTGTTCTTTAGGATGGCTTTGAGTTTGTAACTTGCTTTTCGTCACATCGCACGATGTGCAGGATAGAATCTTCAAATTTATTTTTCTAGTTCGAGGCGACCTCTGTTTCCCTCAAATTAAATTCCACACCTCCTGTTTTCTGTCGGCCGTACGCTGAACGCTCCCGGTCGGCTCAAAGCCCATCTGCCAGGGCCGGGCAGCAAGAGAGGGCCGAAGGCTGAGCAGGCTGCCCGGCACTGGCTCACAGTATGGAGTCACCAGTCATGCTTCATTCGTGTACATAGAGTGAGCCTGTACCGTAGGGTAGCGCTAGTGTGTCAGGTGAATAGCGCGGGGCGCGCGCGAGAGCGCCAGGGCGTCAGTGGGGTCGAAGCGGACGTGCCGAGCCGACTGCCGACCGCGCCGCGAAAAAGTGGTGGAGAAAAGTCTACCCACTGGACGCGATCAAAGGGCAGGCCTTTCTGCTTCACTTATTGCCTCTTAAGATCCGCGCTCAGAGTTATGTTTAAAACATGTTCACGCGCATTCCACGTTCGATATACGATTTGTTCCGTGCGTGCCCCGCCAAAAATGTGCAAATCAATTTATTTTCAGAAGGTGTAATCAACTTGTAAATAGTGTACTTACACACATTCGCGCATGCGGTGAATGTGTTTCATATACCATTGTCTTGTATAAAAGTAATTTTTGATGTGACTGACTGTTAAATATGTTATGTAAAATTATTTGCGAATATTTCAAAATGAAAAAAAAAATCACTACCTACGGTAAGAAGCCCTCAGTTCTCTAGAGGTCACGAGATTGTTCCGTGTATTTGAAACCCGTTTAGTCACGCAGGCAGACAGATCGCATTAGTGGATTATTGTGTATCACTAATAAAGTGTCATTATTGTTAAACATAGATAAGTGAAAGCATAAAAAATATAGACAGTACTTGTATTTTTGCAAAGTAAAATGAAATACATCATTCTAGTTACATTTTCATTATTTTTTATATATAATTTTACATTGCCAATCCCATGCGTCTGTTTTAGTTGGAGTTACAACGCCTTGCTTTTGTGTGAGAATTACAACAATTATAACGTAAAGATGTGCATGTAATTTAAAACACAAATGTGTAAAGAAAATCCCCTATCGTCATTTCTCAGATTGACAAAATGTGTATAACAGACGGAAATAGTGTATTTGTGAGTCCCATATGCGGATCTCGGAGTATCTTCTTGCCAGCTTAAATCGTTGTGTTAGGCCTTGTGGTGTTACATGTATCAGCAGTTTTGTAAAGTAAACCAGGAAATTATTTGTGCTATCGGAAAGCATTATCAATCACTCTTTTTATGATGAATAATTATTCAAGACTGTTGCAAACTTGAAAAAGATATCATGAACAGTGTACTTATGATTTGATGGATTAAAATAAACTAGCCTGAGCGGCGATGAGTGGAAGCTAACTTATGATGCCTTCTTAATCCTTTACTACACACATTATCTTGTATTTCCTAGTTGTTTATTCGGCTTATCGTAGCTTATCATATTTCTCTTTGGACCCATAAGGTTGTCCCACGTCCACAAGCACTCCGGAGTAGTGCGGACTATTGGGTAGACTCTGTCTCCGAACACATTAAAGAGATGTGGGCCACCCACCACACAACCTCACCCAAACTGTTCACGTACCCTTCCTCGGCGTAAAAGTCTGATACGCAAAGGTTCAGAAAAACGTCAAAACTCGCCGTGTCTCGTGTCCTTTCGAATAAGGATTATTCATAAAGTACATCCGTCGATCACCGTCTCGAACCTGCTCACTTCAGTTCAGCCTCTATGTCGCCTGACAGGTAGGCAACATCTTGCCTTCAGTGCATCTGTGTGCTGCGGGCTGGCCCGCCGTGGGTCTCGCGGGCGCTTCGCTGCCCCAATAATGAATCTCGATAAATAAAACGGACGTACTTTCTGGGTGATCCCCTACGTCGCCGACGTAACGCCCACTTCTAAGCGCGGGGAGTCAGCTGTCTGAGGTTTATCTGACCCGGCTGTATCCCCCCACTCCACTCTCCGCTCCCCACTCGGTCGGGCCGGTGGTGGCCGGCCAGCCGCCGGGGCCCGGGGCGGCGCAGCAGCGCGTCGTCCCGACCGGTCCCGTCAGTCGCGGCGAGCACCATGTCGAGCATACACCCCGACCTGCCCAACCTGTTCGAGTTCGACTCGCCCATCGCGCCGGCCGCCCTCTCGGGGCCCGGCGTGGGCGTCCACGTCACCGAGGACGTCTTCGGCAGGATGGGCTCCGTGCCCATCCAGCGGTTCACCCTGGGCAACGCCAAGGTCACGGTGCAGGTCATCTCGCTGGGCGCCATCATCACGGCCATCCGCATGCCGGACAAGGACGGCAAGGAAGAGGACGTGGTGCTCGGCTACGACTCGCCCGACGGTAGGTGGACGAAGCATCCGTGCGGAGAACAGCAGCGCCCAACACGAAAACAGGGCCCTGCGCGCGTTGTTGTTGGTGTTGTTTTTCTACTAAATCGCACTGTAATTGGATCGTTTGTTTTGGGCGTAAACTCTCGGCGCGCAGACAGCGGTAACGCGCAGTATAGTGTCAGCGCCACAGAGTCACGGCCATTGTCACGGTCCGGCGCCGGCGTGAGAGGGAAACGGAAACAATCGGAAGGCTCGGCGTGGCGGAGCGGAGCGCAGCGCAGAGTGGTACTCCTCTCCTTGACGAGGAGTGCAGAATCACGGCCACGTCGGGGGTAAGGGGGGGGGGGGGCGCTATGAAATGCTGGAAGCAGTCATGCTTGGACTCGCAGGCTCGGCCACACCGCGCCTGGCTAGGCTCAGCCAGGCTGTACAACTCGCACTATCTGCTCGCAGCCATAACAAAATCACAACCCAAATTAATGGTATCATTCATTCCCTTCCTGGGGCATACAAAAGATTTCGCACAACACCCCGTGGTGCACGCGTTTTAGTCGTACGTTATGAGGCAGTGTCGCGGAGGACGAGAGTAGTGTCACGGGGGACAAGAAGGAAAGGCCCGCCTGACGGACGACCGTGCTCCGGCTGCTCCGCGATGCTCGGGGGGGCGACGAGTGGCCCGCGCCCGCAAGGCCTGCCTGGCCCGAGGCCGTAACATTTTATGCGCCTTTCAGAAGCATAAAACATATCTTTTGTTGCAGCAACAGCTCATCCCAACATGTTATATGCCGTGCTGCCTTCCGTACAGCGTACAAGACCCCCCCCCCCTCCTTTCTCTCTGCTGTCATTTTCCTACACTCTCTCTCTCTCTCTCTCTCTCTCTCTCTCTCTCTCTCTCTCTCTCTCTCTCTCCCTCTCTCCCCCTCTCTCTGACATGAAATATTTGCCTCGGAGCACTTGAATAGGGCGGGCTAGGCTAGGCGTCTTGCTTAAGAGCGCACCCCCTTCCCTCTACCCCCTCCCCCTTTCCCTTCCTTACTTCCACACTCCCCTCCACCACCAATTTCTCTCCCACAGACGGATGGATATGCGATTAGGATTGGGGGGAAGACCCTTGGGAGGGAGGAAATGCACACAAAATAACGGAAGCGTTCGATTTCCCGAGGTCCCTCCGAGTTATTCCTTTTCCGACCGCTGAGAACAGAGCCGCAAACATATTGCCTCCCTCCGCGAGTTGCTTACCGCTCGACGAGCAGTGATCTCCGCGCATTCAAACCCCCCGCGCATTATGGAAAGTCGGCGGGTCAGTGGAGCAGCCGCGTGAGGTGAGACGAGCGGTGCCCGGTAACGAGATAAGGGGCCCTTTGCCTCTGGCACCACTCCAGCCAGATAGCCGTGATAGTGCGGCGAAAATATCCCCGACGGTGCCAGGTGTCATAAGCACACGCAGAAAAAAAAAACGTTTTGGCACGTCGAGAAATAAGGGGGTTGACCCTTTACAGGGTCTGCTGGTCAGCCCGAACTGTGTGTGTACCCATATTTTTGTTTTGCCCTTTTCTGTGTTTCTCCAACCCAGACATGTCTCTAGGTTACCTGAGCGCCGACAACCCCTACTTCGGCGCCACGGTCGGCCGGGTGGCGAACCGCATCGCCAACGCGAGCTTCACGCTGGACGGCAAGGAGTACAAGCTGCACGCCAACGCGGGGCAGAACACGCTGCACGGCGGCCTGCGCGGCTGGGACAAGGCCGTGTGGAACGCGTCGCGCCACGTCGACGGCGTCACCTTCTCCCTCCTGTCGCCCGACGGCGACGAGGGCTTCCCCGGGGCGGTGCTGGCGCAAGTCACCTACCGCCTCACCGTCGACAGCCGGCTCATGATCAGCATGCAGGCCATCGCCACCAAGCCCACCCCAGTCAACATCGTCAACCACGCGTACTTTAACCTTGCCGGTCACGTAAGTATTCACCACCAGCACGACGTCGTTAACTGGGAAGGAAACGCGAAAAACAAAAAAATAAATATACAGTTTTAATCCGTTTTGGAAAGTTTCCCAGTGTGTTCTATATTATAAAACGTTGTCATAAAAGTCTTCAACACCGCCTTTAAAATTTTAATTCCCATGTTGTGCATTTGCGTTACATTACTTTACGACGCTCTGAGTCAGGTTCCACCACCCTGTTACGGCGTTACGCTGCTGGAAGGGACCGCATCGGTTTAAAATGAATTACTTCGTGTGATGTTGCCTTTTTTAACGCGTCTGTTTCCATCCTCCAGGGCGCTGGACCGCAGGAGGTGTACAAGACCAGGCTCGCGGTGAACGGGGACCGCTACACCGTCTTGGACCAGTTCCAAATCCCGACCGGTAGTGTCTCAAACCTGACCTGTTTTCCACAAACACTACTCGGATGCCTCGACGGCTCGCACGTCGTGTTCGCCGTGCTCGCTGTGCACTCCGTGCTCACCGTGCACGCCTTGCACGCGATGCTATCGCTGTTCAAGCCGTGCTTCCCCGACCGTCCGTGGTGCTCACCTGACCTCTCTGTCCACAGGAGCGTTCGCGCACGTCGAGGGCACGCCGCTCGACTTCCGCACGCCCCGGCTGCTGGGCGACGTGCTGCCCAAGTTCGACGTGGACCACAACTTCGTCATCACCCGCGGCCTCGAGCGTCCCGCCGAGATGGTCTACGTGGCGGGGTGAGTGCGCGGAACGTTATCGGTGGAATTTTTCTTTGTACGCTACCGACCGTGAATCAGAGTGCACTACTTTAACTTAAAGTGATATTCACCGTAGCTTTCTTTGAAAATTCACCGTAACCCACTCTCTACAGTGCTGCAGGGTTTTCTGTACCATATACATGTAACGTTGACCTTATGATTTTTGTTAGCGCGAGAAAAGAGACATGTGTCCTGCCGCCTGATTGGTTGCAACTTCTTTCTTGTGCGCAGCGCGGTGCACGAGCCGTCCGGGAGGACCCTGGAGCTGTACACGGACCAGCCCGGCATCCAGGTCTACACGTCCAACGGCCTCCCAGAGTGAGTATGGTCCGCACAGCCGCATGGAGTGGCAATGGCGAAGTGTGGAGTGGGAGTAGCTTTGTGGTGCCCTTTTTGGACTACAATAAGTAACTATACTATCCGCTCCTCCCGCAGCGCCTCCCAGGGCCCCATGATCGGCAAGGCCGGAGCGAAGTACATCAAGCACGGCGCCTTCTGCCTCGAAACACAGAACTTCCCTGACGCCATCCACAATGTAAGCATTACTTTTACAAAAAGAAAATCTGGGACTGAAATAAGCAATAAGTAGAACGAAAACAAATATTATTCACGACGTGGTCTGGCCGATGCTAAAATCTGCAGAAATAAGGCAGAATTTTCAACTCGACTACACCGCAAAATGCTAAAGAATAGGTTCAAATTGCGAACAATTTCCTTTCCAACCTGGAAAGAATTTGGAAGCGATGCTGACATATCTTGTTCTTCGTAAGCTACTATTTTTTTGCAATACGAAAGTATTGTTTGCAACAAATCTGACAGGCTTCAAAGAATTCTGTTCGCTTTACGAAACCAATAATTCTTTGCAACCCAATGAGCGAAAATTCTTCGCAACGTGTTGCAAAGGATTTAGTTCGCAAGCATTTTGCAGTGCATTTCATAACATGTTACTGCGGTGGGTGTGGCGACGCGACAGCGGCCACCGCTAAAACGAATATTGTTCTCTTGTTTGGTGCCGAGCAGGATCGGCGCCCTTCTCACGAGCTCTTGTTTTATCCTACGCAGGAGCGACGCTTCCCAAACAGCGTCCTACGTCCCGGTTCGTTATACAAGCACAACATGGTGTTCAAATTTGGCGTTCGCATGCAGCCGAAAACACAGTAATGAAGCATGCTGCATGAATGACTGAGCTTATCTGCGGTACCAGCACCAGCACCCTCATGTGACTGTCTGAGGTTGTGAGCCGCTCCAGCAAATTGTGTTCTTTTTTGAAAGGTTTTGATAGAACTCGACTGTACAGCAAAAACTCAATGGATGGAATGTAAAATGTAATTTAATGATTCAAAAAAGTGAAACAAAATAAAAATGTTTAAAAAAAATGGAAAAAGGTAACTTGTGTTTCCCTTGTTAATTTGTTTCTATTATGTACTACCGACCAAACGGCGTCGTAAATGCTCACGCACGCCCCTATCCCCCCTAAGCGGACAAAAATAAAAAAGTAAAAATTATGGGGGAGTACTTTCCGTACCGCGACGGTTGACGCGTACATTGGGTAAACTGCACTGACCCACCACAGGTCATGGAGCTTCGTTACAGCACGATGTAGGTTACAGTCAGTACCACAAAAATGTGTCAACAATGCCGGCGGCCGGAGTCAGCTTAATCCGACCCGACTATAGAACATCCTTTTTTCCTGTAACATGAAATCCGAAGCCTTCAGGGTGTAAGCAGAAGGCAAGGACCTGTTTTGCACATAATCCCTGACTAGCCGAAAGGGCCTGGACGCATAATATTGCCGCTCAGGCGCTAAGTGTAGGCTACTATCTGCACACAGACACTTGGCGGGAAGGCCTACCCGATGCGCCGCAGGCGTTGTCATTCGGAATCGTTCGTACTGCGACGGCGTTCCTGTTTGTAGCTACACGATTGTAGCTGCAGCCGACAGTGAGTCAGCTTAAACTGAACCGTCTATAGACGAATGCAGTACTTCCGCCAATGCTAGAATATCAACCAGAAGTAAACTGCGCAAAGAACTAAAGCGAAAACGAAAGATATCAATGCCTCTCCTAAACTCTCGCCTTGTCCAAGCGCTCGGAGGGACAGGGGGCCGCGGGGGCCCGATTCAGGAAAGCATTGCCTACCCTCCAGGCGTTTTCAGCGACAGTCATC